GGCCCCGCCGACGGGGATTCGAGGCGCAAGCGGAACCGCGATTTACGGTGGAATGGCGCAGCGGGCATGGCGCCGGGGCTGATGATGGGGGCGCCGCCGCTGCTGGGGGGGGCGCGGGGTCGGTGGCGCCGATGGTGCCGGGGCCGCCGACGGGCGCGACGGCGCCGCCGTTGGGGATGGCGCCGCCCGTCGTTGGGGCGCCGCCGATGGGCGCGATGGCGCCGCCGACGGGCGCGATGGCGCCGCCGATGGGCGCGATGGCGCCGCCGATGGGCGCGATGGCGCCGCCTGTCGTGCCGGGTCCGCCGATGGGAACCGCGGCGCCGCCGCCCGTCGTGCCGGGACCGCCGGCGATGGGCGCGGCGCCGATGATGCAAGGGCAGATGGGCGGCGGGTATCCGCAGACGGGTGGGTACGGCGCGCAATCTCATTTTGTGGAAGATTTCGCGTCGCTAAACCTCGGTCCAGGTGGGGCGAGCGGCGAGCCCGGGATGGATCCGGCGACGTTTCCACGGCCGGGCGACGACGAGCCGAGGCCGAATATGGAGCTCTCGTGCGATCCGAAATACATGCGCTTGACGTGCGGAGTGCTTCCGTCGAACCCAAGTCTGAAGACACGGTTCGCCATGCCGCTCGGATGCATCGTCCATCCGCTCCGACCGGGCGACGAAAAGGAGGTGAAGACGGCGCACTTCGGGAGCTCGGGTATCGTGCGCTGTCGTCGATGCAGAACGTACATCAACCCGTTCGTGCAGTTCACCGACGGCGGGCGGAGGTTTCGGTGTAACGTGTGCGCGCTACCGAACGAAGTGCCGGTGGATTACTTTTGCACCCTGGATGCGAACGGCGTGCGTAGAGACATCGCCGAGCGGCCAGAGTTGAACAGCGGGACGGTCGAATTTTTAGCCAGCCAAGAGTACATGGTGCGACCACCGATGCCTCCGTCTTTCTTCTTCGCCATCGACGTTTCGCATACGGCGGTGAATAGTGGGTTTTTGAAGAAGACCGTGGAGACGATCAAGGAGTCGCTCGATGAAATGTCCAAGAAGAGCGAGCGTACACAAGTGGGATTCCTGTGCTACGACTCGACGCTCCACTTTTACAGCCTCAAATCGTCCCAGACGCAGCCGCAGATGATGGTCGTCGCCGAACTTGACGATCCTTTCGTGCCGATGCCGGATGATTTGCTTGTGAACCTCGCGGAATCGCGGCAGGTGATCGACTCGTTCTTAGATATGGTGTGCGACACATACGCGGCGACGCAAAACATGGAGAGCTGCATGGGTCCGGCGATGCAGGCCGCGTTTTTGGCCATGTCGCACCTCGGTGGTAAGCTTCTCGTGTTCCAATCGTGTCTACCGACGCTTGGTGCCGGTCGATTGGTGAACAGAGACGACACGCGATCCAGCATGGACTCGAGCAAGGAGCACTTACTTCGCGGCCCCGTTGATGGTTTCTTCAAGAAGACTTCTGCGGAGTGCTCCAGGCTTCAGATTTGCATCGACATTTACACGATTGCAGCGCCATTTTCGGACCTCGCGTCCATGTCGGTGCTCTGCAAATATACGGGCGGCGAGATGCGACACTACCCGGGTTTCACGCTCATCAAGGATGGCGTCAAATACGGCAAAGAGTTGAAGAATAATCTCACGCGATACACCGCATGGGAGGCGGTGTGTCGCGTACGCTGCAGCCGCGGCTTTAGAATCTGTGCCTTCAACGGTCACTTCTTCATCCGATCCATGGACCTGTTAGCACTCCCGGCGACGGATGGTGATAAGGCGTACGGGGTGCACATTGCTCACGACGAGGTTGTCCCAAGCACAAACATCTCGTACCTACAGTGCGCCCTACTCTACACGTCTGCCGAGGGCGAGCGAAGGATTCGAGTGCACACGATGGCGGTGCCGGTCGTGACAGACATTGCGGAAATGTACAGAGCCGTAGATAGTGGTGCGATGGGAGCTTTCATGGCTCGTCTGGGCGCCGAGCGCACGCTGAGCGTTCGATTACAAGATGCTCGTGAGGCTGTGATGGCCAAGGTGGTGGCGACGCTGCGCGAGTACAAGTTAATCAACACGCAAGTGTCGAGAGCGTATAACAGACTTATCTTCCCAGAGGCGATGAAACTACTTCCGCTTTGGATTTTTGCCGCTTTCAAGAGCACTGCGATGCTTGGTGGGCCGAGAGACGTCCCCGTGGACGCTCGCATTGCCTCTGTGTTTGACTTCATGTCGGCATCGACGGAAGAAATTCTGAAATTGCTCTACCCAACCATGTACGCGCTGCACTCGATGCCCCAGGAAGCGGGAATGAAGGATGAGTACGATCGGGTGATTTTGCCCCCGCGCACCGTCCTCGCAGGCGAGCGCATCGATGCGCGCGGCGCCTATCTCGTGGATGACGGCAGACGCCTGTTGCTCTGGCTGGGTAAGATGCTCGATCCGGGATTCGTCGGCGACTTGTTCGGCCCGAGCGGTCCATCGAGTGCAGATGTCGACTGCATCCTTCCAGTCCTTGACAACGCCCTCTCGCGCAAGGTGCGCGCTATCGTCGACGACGCACGCGCCGAGGCCGGTCGCGCTCGTCACTTAGTCCTCACCTGCGTCATCCAAGGCCACCCGAGCGAGACTCAGCTCTTCCCGTACCTGGTCGAAGATAGAGGTGCCGCTAACGTCGTCGGCGCTCAATCCTACGCCGAGTTCTTGATCGAGCTCCATCGCCAAGTGAGCGCGGTGCAGCGGTGATAGCTGAAAAGTTGTGGGAGACACTTTGAATGTGACGCCACTAATGTAAACAAAAACTCTCGATGCCCAAAACTCCTCGCCTCGCCGCGCTCGCCGTCTCTTTACGACGCGAGCCTTCATCATGGACAAGGTACGCGCACGCACGAGCGCTTGATACCGCGCGCGTCGTTATTTCCGTCGCGGCGGCAGGCGCTGCGGGCGTGATGCGGCGTCGGAGAGAGCGACGTGCGCTCGACGCGCGCTCACTGGGGTTTTCACCGTGATCGATCATTCCGACTGACTTGGACGTTCCTCGCCACGTAGGTCATCGTCATTGACGCCAAGGGGCACATGTTCGGTCGTCTGGCCTCGGTTGTGGCCAAGCAGCTGTTGCAAGGCCAGCACGTGGTGCGTATGCTCGGGAGATCTTCGAATGACGCGATGGGGCGAGAACGCGCGGGCGGCGCGGAAGGGATTCAGCGACGTCGAGCGGGCGACGCGAGCGATTCATCGAGGTGGTGACGACATCGATGGGCTGCATGAATTTCATGCTCGTCGTTACGATACCCGACCGATCCGTGGACGACAGCACGGCGCGCGGGCGGACGCGATCGTGTTCGTTCGAGGGCGAGTGGTTTAGGGCTTTGCGCGCGGGAGAGGGATGGCGCTACGACGTGTTCAAGAGACTGACTGGGAGTTTTTTTCATCGTGATCACAGGTTGTCGTGCGCACCGAGGGCATCTGCATGTCCGGTGGCATGGTTCGTCGCCGCATGGCGCACGATCGCTACAAGAACAAGCGCATGAACACCAACCCGAAGAGGGGTCCGTACCACTACACGTCGCCGTCCCGCATCTTGTGGAAGACTGTGCGCGGTATGATCCCGCACAAGACTGTGCGTGGTGCGGCTGCGTTCGAACGATTCAAGGCGTACGAAGGCATCCCGGCGCCGTACGACAAGGTGAAGCGTGCTTGCATTCCGGAAGCGCTCAAGGTGTTGCGCCTCGGCGAGGGCAACCGCTTCTGCGTCCTCGGCGACTTCTGCGAACAAATCGGTTGGAAGCACGGTGCGATCGTGCGGGAGCTCGAGGGCAAGCGCCAAGCCGCTGCCTCCGAGTACTGGGCGTCCAAGAAGGAGGCGAACGCCAAGTTTGCGCAGGCCAAGGCTGCGGCGAACGCGCAACTTGGGGACCTTCAGCAGTTGATTGAACAAACTGGTTACTAAATTTGGGTAGCAAAATTAGATAGTCGGTTGTGAGAAGAGTTTTCAAATCAATTAAACCACTAACTCATCCAGCCAGCGCGCTGTAATAGTAACGCGCGAGCGTGTGCAGAGGAAGGTATGCGGTGCCGTCACATAGTGGTCACTGCTACGTCAATGCTCAGTAGCGGTAGTCGCGCACCGTCTGGAAGAAGTGAGCGACGTTCTCTTCGGGCGTTCCCACCATGACTCCGTGGCCGAGATTCATGACGTGTCTGGACTTACCGGCCTTTTCGATCGTTTCATGAACCTTCTTCGTGATGAAGTCTTGCGACGCGAACAAGTGGACGGGGTCCATGTTCCCCTGCACCGCTTGGTTTGCACCGAGTCTCCGTCGAGCATCTGCCATGTCCACGGTGCCATCCAAGCTCAGGACGTCGGCGTTCGTCGTAGCCAATCGCTCCAGGAATCCGCCGCTACCGCTGGAGTAAATGATGAGTGGCACGTGTGGGTGTGTCTTCTTGCACTCGGCCACAATGCGCTGCAGGTATGGGAGGCAGTACTTTTCGAAATCCGCTGGTGAGAATTCGCTCGCCCAGGAATCAAAAATCTGCACCACCTGCGCCCCAGCGTCCGCCTGGTATCTCGTGTACTCGATCACGGCGTCCGTGAGCTTATTCATCAGCGCTTCGTACACCGCCGGCGCGTCAAACGCCATCTTTTTGATCACCTTGTAATGCGAGCTCGTCCCACCCTCGACGATGTACGAAGCCAGCGTGAACGGTGCACCACAGAACCCCAATAGCGTGGCCTCGTTCCCAATCTCACTCCTCAACAATTTAAGCGACTCCCCGACGAACGGCACGCTCTTCTCAGGCTCCAAATTCGTGATCGCCTTGATATCCTCCATCTCTCGCACCGGGTTGAAGATGATCGGTCCCGTCCCCTTCACGATGTCGAACGGAATGTTCATCCCCTGCAGCGGCGTCAAGATATCGCTGAACAAAATAACGCCGTCCGGTTTAAACGCTCGATACGGCTGCAGAGAGATCTCCACCGCGAGATCCACCGTCTCGCTTCGCTCTCGGAACGTCGTGTGCCGCTTGCACAGGTCCTGATACACCTTCATGTATCTCCCGGCTTGGCGCATCATCCAGATCGGTGGACGCTCGACGTCCTCGCCTCTGATCGCGCGGAGCATCAGCGGATCCAGATCACCGTTCGCGCTCTGCGCGACGACGCCGCGGCGCGCGTTCGCGGACGATTGAGCGCTCGAGCGAGGACGCTTCGCGCGCGCGGACGATTGCTTCGACGCCGCGCTCGACGCCGAACGATGCGACGCCCGGACGACGCGGGCGGAGGCGGAAGGAGCCGTACGGTGCGACATGTCACGCGGGGCGTCGGGGCGTGGACGCGGGCGTCGCACGCGCGAGGGACTGCGGGACTATGGCGAAGCGGATAACGACCTGAAGATATGCAGGGCATTCGCGAGGGCGAAACGAGAAGAGGAGCGGTGCGAGAGGGACGCGCCGCGCTAGGATTTGGTATCTAGGGATTACATGGATTTACTAACCGAAAGAGATCCAGTCCGGGACGCCCTCGTCCTTGGATATCTTCTCGCCACCGGAGGCTTCTTTTTCCAAGCTTTTCTCAATGCTCTCGCGAGAGAATTTTGACGACCCTGAGGAAGACGTCTCTTCCCCTTCTTCTGCGTTGTCGTCGTCGTCGTCGTCGTCGTCGTCGACGGGCTTGCGCGACTTCTTACTCTTCCTTTTCCCCTTTAACTTCTCTGGCGCGAGTTCCACGGACTCACCATCGCTGAACTCGTCGTAGAACTTGTGCGAAGATTTCGTCGAGGACGATCCTCCGCCAAAGTCTTGCGAAGACATGAGTTTATTGAAGTCGAGATCATCACCCGCGTCGTCAACAACTCTTTCTGTACTGGAACCTCGCTTATGAGTAGACTTCTTGACTTTACTCGGCGTCGTGGACGAGTCGTCGTCGTCCTCGGCGTGCTTCTTCGATAACTTCTTTGAAGAGAAGAGATCGTACGATACCTTGTTCTTCAGAGATTTGGCTTCATGCATGGAGTACGTCGATCGATGCTGATGAATGTTATCCACGGCATCATCCGCGTAAGTCGGAAGCTTCGTACCCGTGCGCGCAGCGATCTCCTCTCGCGGTTCCTCGTAATATTGTGACTCGTCAACCTCTTCGTCGTCACTCTGCAGGAGCGCGTTCTCATGAATCTCCGGAGCCTTCAGGGCATCTAAACCGAACGATGTGCCCCAAAAGGAGCCGTCATGGCGATCTTTGGCGTAGACGATGGGTTGAGCGCCAGGCTGCGTGGTGGCTGCCTTGGACGCCTGCGCGGCGGGAGCGAGCCTACCGATTGGTGCCGCAGTCGCCTGCGCCGCGGGAGCAAACCTTGAGTTGTTCAAAACGCCTCCTTGCGAACTCGCTGCGGGTTGCTGCGGCTGGGCGACGACTTGTCGCTGCTGCTGCTGCGGCTGGGCGACGACTTGTCGCTGCTGCGGTTGCGGCTGGGCGACGACTTGTCGCTGCTGCGGTTGCGGCTGGGCGACGACTTGTCGCTGCTGCGGTTGCGGCTGGGCGACGACTTGTCGCTGCTGCGGTTGCGACTCCGCAAATACTTGTCGCTGCTGCGGTTGCGGCTCCGCAAATGTTTCTCGCTGCTGCGGTTGCGGCTCCGTAAATGTTTCTCGCTGCTGCGATTGCGGCTGAGCGACTACTTGCTTGTGATGTACGCGCCTTGGCGCATCCGACCCTTCAGGTGACGACTGCAGGAAGCCTTGAATAATGTCATCGTCGTTGCTAGCTTCGGACATCACCGTCTGAGCTTGGGTGCTTTGAGCTTTGGGGCCGCGCGCTTGAGACGGCTGTGCCTGTCCTTGACTATGTGAGCCCGATAGATCCTGCGGCGTTTGTTCGTGCTTGACCCACGGGGCTGTTTCCCATCCCAGACTACCAGAAGAATTCGACGGATTCGCCTGCGTCGTCAAGTCGGCTCCTGTATTGGAGACGTTGACGGAGAAGTTAACTAACGAAGGCGCTATCGCCGGAGTGACAATTTGAGCGACCATACTCGCAGCGCCGAGTTGAGATTCCCTTTTCGCCCCGGATCTCTTCGCAAATGACGGCTCAGACGCCGTTTTTGTCGAGTTCGTTGTTGTCTTCCTCCCTCGTAGCTCCTTCACTTCATCTCTCAAGCTCTTGAGCTCTTCCTTCAGCGCAGTGAGCGTACCTTCTTCAATTGTATCAGATGGATTCGGTCGTTCGTCCTCGATGTCGAGATCTTGAAACGCACCGAGTTGGCCGTGAAAATGTTGCAAGCTCCAGAAATCCTCGTGGGCGTTCCCAGCGTTTGGCATCTTCCATCCCCAGAAGAAATTTGGCGTCCGAGTGACGTTGAACGCGCGCAGCTGTCCCTTGTAAACGGCTCTTCTCACGTCTTCGCTAGCGCAGCCCTTTGAGCTGTCATGATTTGTCGCGATCGACCATTCGCTGACGCTAAATAGCTTGACACCGTTCAACGCCGCCGGCGCCTGCACCTTGTGAATGTACTGAGCCAAAGTCGAGCGGACGGTCTCTGTGATGCGTTGCGGCGTGTCCGAGCACTTCCAAGCGCATCCCTTGTCGCAACCGTTCACGCCCCAGGCGAGATAAAAATGTGTGTCCAACACTGCCCACGTACGAAGTTCCGCCAGGTCGAACCACTTTCGCATGATCTTCGAGAACTCGTTTGTTTGGATACCACTCGTCTCCATCAAGTTGACGTACAGTTTCGGCACGGGCTTTTTCATCATCTCACGAGGTCTGACGATGAGTTGCTTGTACACGTAGATCGCCTTACCCATCCACTCTAACATGGCCTCGCGCTTTGCCGGCATCAAGTGCGCCGGCTCGTTCAACAGCGTGAAGCCATCGATGAAACGCTTGTCTTCTTCACGCAGCGCGTTGTACCACTTTAACATCTTGTGAATCGCCTGCATGCCGATGTCTTGCAGTTTCGGATCGTCCCAGAACGCCGGTGGATGCGGGAACACGCCGTTGTACGTACCCTGCGAGCTCCCGCCCGGCATGCTGTGCATGTCCATGACAACTTTGGCCCCCGTCTCCCTGTGCAGGACGCGCAGGACGTGCGTCATCGCCATCTGATCCACCGTCGCGAACGCACGATCGCCGTACTTTGGATCCTGAATGATCCGTGTCGGATCTCTCTGCGTGCCCATGAACGCCGCCCACGTCACCGGCACACGCACCGACTCCAACCCGAGTTGGCTGATCCGGCGCAAGTCCTCGTTCGTGAGCCAGGACGAGCGATATGCGTTCATGATCTTCGCCGTCTTCAAATTGCCGTACTTTCGCGCTAGTTTCGCCACCAAATCACCCTCGCTCGACCACGAGAACCCGAGCTCTGCCGGCGTGTTGAAGAACGGCGGCAACACCCTTCCCTGCGACGCGCCGATCGGCGAGTCCACGACGGTGGACTCTCCGTTCGCGAAGAACCACTCCTCGAGATGTAACCACCCATTCAAAGCCACACCCGTGGGCATCTCTTTCATCGGCTTCACAGGCCGCGTCGTCGCCGCGCCCGCGTTTCCGAGCGCCGACGCCCTCGCGCCCGCCGCGCCGCGTCTCCACGCGATCGCCCCGCACGCGCTCCCGAGCACCGCCGCCGCGCACGCCCCGATGGACACCGCGCTCCACCGTCGACGCGATCCACCACGTCGACGTCCACGCGTCTCTCCCAACAGCGCCGCGCGCTCGGCGTCGTCGCCGTCGCGACGTCGACTCGACGCTCGAACGGCGCGCTCGACGTCGAACGCATCGTCCGTCGTCGTCGCCCTCGCGTCGCCGCGCCTCCCGCTCGCGCCCGCGGCGGCGTCGACGACGGTCGTTTCTCCGTCTCGCGCGCCCATCGCCCTCGGCGACGCGCGCGCGGTGGTGCGAGGCGCCGACGCGCGCGATGGCGCGCCATGGTGTTGGCGCGCACCGATGCCTCGCGTCGGGCGCGCGCGTGGCATCACATCGACCTACGCACGCGTTTATACGGACCAGATGTCCGGTGCACGTGTACGATATATCCCCCGAGTCCCCGGTTTCACGAGTGCTGCCCCGCGGTGGCGCCGAATGTCCGAATTTACCCCCCGCGCACGTCCGACCCACGAGACGCGTACACGACCAGGACGAACCGTATGTGGACACACGGTCGATGGCGCGCGTCGATGCCGTTCGAATTCCGTCGCGTCGCGCGCGCACACGCGCCCGCGGATGCGCGCGATCGTCTCTTCGTCCAGCGCGTCGGCGGTGGCCCGAACGCGGTCGCGCGCGCGCGGCGAACGCGCGGGGCCTCGCGCGGGGCGTCGGGGCGACGGCGTCGACGGGGCGAATCGCGCGCGCGATTACGCGAGAGCGATGCTTCGACAGTGCGCGCGACGCGCGCGTGGGGTATCGACGCGCGTCGAGGCCGCGCACGGAAGCGCGTACGATGGACGCGGTGCGCCGGCGACGAATGTGGGGGCGACTGCGGCGAACGCGGCGGTGGATGGGTGGCGCGGGGCGCGGGCGCCGCCGGTGCGAGGCGCGCCGCCGTTACCGCCGGCGCAGGGACGCGTGACGACCGGGGGGGGGGGCAAGGACGGTGGATACGGGGGGGGGAGACCGGTGATGACGGGGGGGATCGTTCCGGAGGATATCGACGCGGTGTATCACCAGATGCAACACTTGGGGCAGAAGTGGGCGGACGCGCACGCCGAGGCGGAGATGCTGGAGGAGGCGAAGAAGTGCGTGCTGAGCACGATCACGCTGCATTACATCGAGGATGGGAACGCGAAGTCGGCGGCGGAGGTGCACGCGTACGCGTCGCAGGAGTATCAGGAGCACATAAAGAAGATGGTGGAGGCGAGACGCCGCGCCAACGTGGCGAAGATTGAGCTCGAGAGCATTAAGACGCACCTGAACCTCACTCGAACCTACGAGGCGACGCGTCGCGAGGAAATGAAGCTGATTTAAAGGGTCGCGTGTAAATAAAGCAGATTTTGAACTTTCATCTTCACATCACACATCGTATTCAGTCCCTCTTCACATCGCGTCGATCCCGAGCTCGGCGCTGTAACCACCGATTCTCTTCGCGTCCCGCACGAGCTCACACATCTTCGCCATGCCCCCAGCGAGCTGTAACATCGTCGCGCACCCTTCGGAGAGACGCAGATGCGTGAAACCTATGATTCGAATCAATTCGAGCTTTATGTATTCTGGCATGGCGTTGTCGTCGTAATTTTTGCACACCCGATACATGGTGCCGATGATGTCGAAAACCGAGTATCCCTTATCGTACAGAGACTTTATCCGCGCGTACGCGTCGTCGATGTTCTCCTGAAGAATGAACGACAAAGCGTCCCTTACGATGTTTGGATGCGGTTGATCGCACACTCGAAACACGTTTTCCTCGTCGATCAACCCAAACCCCTGCGCCGTTGACTGCAAATTATTCAGCGCTTGCCGCATGTCCCCGTCCGCCGTGAACACGATCGCCTCTAAACCCTTTGGCACGTACGCCACCTTCTCCCGCTCGATCACCGTCATCAACCGCTTCAACACCTGCTCGTCTGTCAATTTCACGAAACGCACGATCGCGCACCGCGACTGAATCGGCTCGATCACCTTGTCACTCGTGTTGCACGCCAGGCAAAATCGCGTCGTCGCCGAAAATATCTCCATCGTCCGTCGCAACGCCTGCTGTGCCGCCGTCGTCATCGCGTCCGCTTCGTCTAAGATCACGATTTTCGTCCGTCCCGGCGGCAGCGTCACCTTCTTCTGGGCAAACATCTTAATCTTATTCCTCACCACGTCGATCCCACGCTCATCCGAGGCGTTCATCTCGAGCACCGCGTCCTTGTACTTATCCCCTAAGAGCGCACGCGATAAGACACCGATCGCGGACGTCTTTCCGCACCCGGGTGGACCGCAAAACATGAGATTTGGCATGAAGCCGGACGCAACCATCGAGCGCATTCGATCCACTGCGTCGTCGTTCCCGACGATGTCATCGAGCGTCTTGGGGCGGTACTTCTCGAGCCACGGGAGAGTATCAATGGGCGCCGTTTGCGCCTTCGCGCCGGCGGCGAGGGCGTCGAAGGCGTTCATAGGAACGCCGTGAAGTGCGGCTGTCTGTGTGTTTGAAATTTCAACGCGTCGTCCAGTTAGGACGAAGATCGATCGTGATTCACGAAAGCGTCGAGGGCGGGGAAGAAAACGTCGAGGTACTGTTTAGTTCGAGGGACGTGTTCATCGGACGCCCCGTTCAACGCGGCGCGGAGATCGTCGATGGATTCCCATCGCGTCGCCGTGACCTCGGCGTGACCGAGCGCGAAGTCGTCGCCCGCGGAGTCGCGATCCCAACGCAGGAAGTACACGTCCTCGTAACAGTTGCACCCGCCCAGCGCCGCCTGCGCGGCGGGAATACAGAACTGAAACGTCAAATCGCGCCTCGCATCGCTCAATCGCACGCCCAACTCCTCCTCCAACTCGCACGCCGCCGCTCGGAGCGAGTCGCCGTCGTCCCGAGCGCTCACGTGTCCAGCCGCGGAGATGTCCCACATCCCAGGAAACGTATCCTTCCCCATCGAACGCTTCTGTAGCACCACCGCGCGCGTCTTCGCGTCCACGATCCACACGTGCGCGCTTCGATGCCACTCGCCCCGCGCGTGCACGTCCGCCCGTCTCGCCAGCGCTCCCGTTCCCCTCGGTCGGTCCGTCCGCACGTCGAACGACGGCGTCGGTGCCTCGCACACCTCAAACATCTCGTTCGCATCCTGCGCCGGCGACGAGGCGTCGTCGCGCGCGACGTCGCGGTCCATGCTCGGTCGCGCCGCGTCGCGCGATGCCGCGCCTTTCACAACCACCTTTCGACGTCAATTCCACCGGTGACCGCGCCTTTGGATGCGCGGGAATCACCTTTCACGCCGACGCCTATCGATCCCATGCGCGCGCGCACGCGCACTCGCGCGCGCGCGATGCTTCGCCGCGCCTTCGCGGACGCCGCGCGACGCGGCTACGCGACGTGCGTGCCTCGACGCCTCGATCGCGCGCGCGCGACGGCGGCGCGGGGACGGCGAGAGGCGACGCGGGCGGTGTTCGTGGAGGATTGACGCGATCGAGGACGCGACCGACTGACGACGCCTCGCGCGCAGGATCTCCGTCACGGTCGTGCGCGACGGCGCGAGACACGCGATCGATGGACGGGTGGGAGAAACCCTGGCGCAGGCGCTGGCGCGAAACGCGGAACTCAGGAGCTCGGCGCCGACGATGAGCATCGCGCGAGGGCCGGACGCGCACGTGCTGATCCCGGACGCGTTTCTGGAGAAGATGCCGGCGCTGGACGCGATGGAGCTCGATAAACTTGAGGACGTGGCGGTGGACATGGGAGCGAACTCGAGGTTAGCGAGCCAGGTGACGCTGACGAAGGACGTGGACGGGTTGGTGTGCGCGATATCAAAGCTGTATCCGGAGAACCCGATGTAGTCGACGAGCGCGCGGATGGGAAGTCCGATGTAATCAGTAGCAAATAATACAAGTACAACATGTCTAACAACATGTCTAAATTGACGTTCGCTCGTCGCACCCAGGGACGAGTGAACGATTCATGGCATCGAGGATCCAGTCGTACGGTCGACCGTTCGACTGGGCGTTTGCGACGTTTCGCGCGAGCGAGGAGGATGGTTTCGGTCGTTTGTGCGCTGAGGATGGTTTCGGTCGTTTGTGCGCTGAGGATGAGCCGTTCGCGCACTGCCCCGCGGTGTCGTTCTCAGAGTCTGAGATGATGATGACGTCAGGCTCAGATCGTTTCTTCGCCGACGACTGCTTTTGGGCGCCGCAAAATTCCGCTGCCTCGCGAATCGCGCGCTTGTACTCCTCCTCCTCGTCGAGTTCGGAGTCCTCGCCATTGTTGTCCTCCGCTTCCGTTTTCACCTGCATCGCCTCTTTCGATTCGACGTTCGGCGTGTTCACATTGGAGTCGGCAGCGACCTTGGTGGACGTGCTCGCTGGGCTGCCCTTCTCATCCTCGAGCGTCCACTCGATTGAGCCGCGAGAAATCTTTGGTGAGTACCATCTGAGCGCGGATGCGCTCAAAGCAGGCGCGCCCGGCTCTTCGCGAGGACGCCACTGACCATCCTTATTGATCTCCATCCTACTCACCTTGGTCAGGCCTCGCTCGCGAATTATATTCGTGCACCTCTTCAAGAAGCTGTCGACGCGAAGCTCAGTCGGACCGCCCTTCTTCCCGCACTCTGGACACGACCACTTTCTACTCACAGAGTTGAGCTGTATGAAACTCTTGGCGTCGAACGCGTGCAAACCAGAACACGCGCTTAAACGCGCCGGATCCGTGCACATAAGACCGCTAATCGGACAGCGTAACGACACCAACGCGACATCCTCCATGATGATTTCGTCATCCTTCTTGGTAAAACCGAGCCACTTGAGCGCATTTTTAAGCGCCTTATCTTCGGACACGGCCTCAGTCACGGTCGCCGCGACGTCTTCCAAGTCACGTTTTCGCACGATTCGCACCGCAATCATGAAGTTACCGCGTTTATCTCGGTGAAACATGCGAATGTGGTTGGATCCACATCTCAGGCGAGTGACGGGAATGCGTACAGCGGGATCTCTCGTAGATTTCGTGACGCTCTTGATCGACGAACGCTTCACCACTGACAAAGTGTGATCGTTCGCCGTAAGATAAACATCCAGGGGCCATTGTATGCGCTCCTTGACGTCGTCGTTCTGCAACATGCACACCGCCTGCAACTCAAACTCACTTTCCCGTTGTAAGAACGAAAGCTCGGTTTGAGAGAGAAAGAAACACTGCTGAAACGTCTTCATCGGCAGCACATTTTGCGGTTTCACGATGTCACCGGGCGGATACGACGGATTGTCCTGCGGAGAAATCATCTCGTACAACGGATCGGCCTTTTCAAGCCGAGCGTAGAACGCGCGCTCTGCGTCGGTCGTTCCAAACTTTGACTGCGTCGTCGCCGTAGCGTTCTTCTTCGGCGGCGTCGTGTTCTTCGGCGCCACCACCGCCACCGGCGCGATCGCTCTCGCCTGCGTGACCATTGCGACATTCGGCGGCGGGTTAATCTGGTTCAACTCCTCGCCAAAGATGTTCCACTCTGTGTCCCGTCTCGGCCCCTCTTCCTGGCCGCCTTCGTACAGCGGCGGGAGCGGTCGTAACGGCGAAAGACGTTCACGATACTCCGATTCGATGGTTTTTTTTACCGATGAGATCTTCCAGTAATTTAGTCTGCGCGCCAACATTTCATCGAGTGTTCCGCTCACCTCCTCCGCCAACGACTCGATGATGAGACGATTTTTCCTCGGATCGTTGCTCCAGCACGTCTCCCCCTCGAACAGTAGAGCGCCATACTCATGATACGGCCACCTATGATCGAGCGCTGTCATCAACGTCCGAATCTTCAGCGGCACGTCTTCCCACTTCGCGTTAAACAGCGCGTACGCCTTGTATCGTCTCGCCGCGTCCGTCTCGTAATACGCCAGCGCGCTCTCGTTCTCCTTCTTATACACCTCTTCCCACCGCGCTCGCGCCTCTCGATCCGGTCGCGCCACGAACGCCGCCTCCTCTCCCGCCCGAACGTGCGCGAACCACGTCCTAAAATCAGCCATTCTCGTTCCCGCGAGCGCCGTCGTCGCCACCGGCACATCCGCCGACGCCGCGCACGCGCGCTGCACCCCTCGCTGCATCTGACTCACGATCGCCTCCGCCATCGCAGCCTTGGTCATCCCACTCTTTCGCAGCGACAACGCGTCGCACATCGCCTGTAATTCATTCGCCCGCGCGCGCTGGAGCGCCGTGAGCGCATCGATGCGTCGCTCGGGCAATAAAATCGCACTCGCGATCCGCGTCGACGTCCGCGCCTCGAACGTCTCCCGATCGCACGGCATCGACGGCGCGTGGAGCGGGCGGAGCGCGCCGTCGCGGGGACCTCGCGCGGCGCACACCGCGCGCGGCGGTCGCGTGGACATCGTCGCGTCGCGCTGTCGCGTCTCGATCGACGTCGCGTTTTACCTCGCGTCGCGGTGGACGTAGTATCGTCGATCGAACGCCATGTGTGTTTAACGGGCGTGGACGCGGTCGTCCTGAACCCTAAACCCTCCGTGTACGTACTGTACCAGGCATACACCCATGTCGTGACCGTTCACGAGCCGCCGCCGCGGCGGCGGCGTCGCCAAGGCGTCGATCGCGCCCGACGGAGCCCCGCGCGCGCGCTCGACGGTCGCTCGCGCGCGCGTCGGCCCCGGACGCGTCGCTCGCCGGAGACCGCGTCGCTCGCGCGTCGCTCGCGCGCGCGCGCGCGCGACGGCGACGGCGATCCGACGACGTCATGCGCGTCGTCCCGAGTCGCGCGTCGCTCGCGCGCGTGGCCCCGCGCGCGCGCGATGGACCACGGGATCGGGTCGCACACCGCGTCGGGCGATGTCCCGCGCCCGCGCGCGCGGTCGCGCGCGCGATGGTGGGCGGACGCGGACGATGGGTGGGATTAGGCGCGGCGGCGCCGGAGGCGGATGGTTCGAGTCGAGAGGTGGACGCGAACGCGATGGGTGGACGAGACGAGGTGCGGGAGGTGCGGGAGGACGTGAGCGATGCGGAGGTGAAGGAGATGCGGTATGCGCTGGCGACGGAGGAGAAGGAACGAGAAGAACGCGAGGCCCAGGCGAAGGCGCTCGCGGAGCAGGCGGTGCTGGCGACGGAGGCGTACGAGAAGGACGAGGAGTTGGCGCAGAGCGCGATGAACAGCGCGCAGGAGAAACAAGCGGCGGTTTTAGAGGCGGTCACGAAGTCGGATGCGTGGGCGACGCGGCTGGCCGAGGTGACGGCGTTCGTCGAGGCGGAGCGCGCGGGCGCTCGAGCGCGAGGCGAGAACGAGGAGGAAGTTTTGAACAGCGCCACGTGCACGATTGGACCTGAGATGTCGTGGTGTGATGAAGATTCTACATCCTTAGCGGATGCGTTGGTGCGCGCGCGGGCGTCGTTTGAGACTGCGGAACAAACGCGCAAAGAGTTGGAAATCGAGTTGGAGAACGCCGAGACATTCGCCAAGGAAGCCGCCGACGCGGCCAAGCGATCCAAAGAGCTCGCACGAATCGCGCACGAGAGCGCCGATAAGGCGATGGAGAAGGTGACTGCGAAGATGGAAGCCGTCGTCGCTCTCAATGAAAAGTTGAAGACGATGGAGATAAAGATCGGCGAACAGCAAGCGGAGACGCTCATCGTGCCCCAAGAGGGCGACGCCGTGGCCGCCATCGTTCTTTCGCCGGAAGCGTTACTGAAGAAAAAGCAGGATCTCAAGAATGAGGTCAAGCAAGATCTCGCCGAAAAACGAGCCGCGAAGGACGAGGACTCGGATGATGAGGGCTCGAGCGAGTCGGCGAAGAAGTCAAACCAGTTTGCCTCCGCTGGCTATTTCTCTGCGCCGAAGGTGACCGGAGACGTGGACGCGAGTCTTTTGAAAAAGATCGTGACGGCCATCATGCTTTTCTCCGCCGCCACCTTGATGCTCCCGACGTCTCCGATGAAGGCGATTCGCACGCAGATCTACACGTCTATCGTGAGCGTGCGAGACACTGTCGGCGCCTCTATAAATGTAGTTCAAAAGGGTGCAACGTCTGCGTATGAACGCATTATTCCGGAAGATGAGAGGAAAACCATCGCACACGCGACGGAGGAAGCCGAGGAAACCGGTATGACGGATGTGCTCTGGCTCCTATTTGCGTCCGTCTTCGCGGTGACCATTGTGAGCAAAATTCCGGGCGGATCTCCCGTGCTCGGATTTCTTCTCGGTGGCGCCATCATCGGTCCGTTTGGGCTCGGCATGATCCATCATGTTTCAAGCGTGAAAGTTCTCGCGGAGTTTGGCGTCGTCTTCTTACTTTTCAACATCGGTCTCGAGCTTTCGTACGAACGTCTTGTGTCCATGGCGAAATTCATCTTTGGCCTGGGGAGCGCGCAGATGTTCTTGACCACCGCTGTGGGCGCTGCCGTCGCCGTCGCGTGTGGCCTAGCAGTACCCGCGGCTGTCATCGTCGGTCTGGGTCTGGCGTTTTCTTCCACTGCCGTCGCGCTTCAAGTTCTCGCTGACAGAGGTGAGTCTGCGAGCCGACACGGTCGCGCAACGTTCTCAGTGCTCCTCTTTCAAGACTTGATGGTGGTGCTGGTCTTCATGCTCGTGCCGCTCCTGGCGGGTCCGGACAGTGGTAGTTTCACCGCCTTAGCTACGTCTTTGGCCAAGGCTGTGCTTAAAACCATCGTGGGGATCGTCGGGATAATCGGGATCGGTCGTATTGTCTTGCGACCGGTTTTCAACCGCGTCGCGAAGCTTCGTCAAGCCGAGCTCTTGAGCGCTACGACACTCTTCGTGGCGCTCGGTACGGCCCTTCTCACCCAGGCACTTGGCCTATCAATGGAACTTGGCGCATTCTTGGCGGGTCTGCTCCTGGCCGAAACTGAGTTCCACTTGCAAGTCGAGAGCGACATTGCGCCGTTCAGAGGTCTTCTCCTCGGTTTGTTCTTCATGACCGTCGGCATGACGATAGACGCCGCGACCTTCATCCAAAGCGCGGGTAGTATTCTTGGAATCACGGCAGCGCTCTTGATAGGTAAGATTGCCGTCATGTGCCTCGCCGGTCCGCTATTCGGTATGTCGCTCGTGAACTCGTTGCGCGCGAGTATGTACGTAGGACCCGGCGGAGAGTTTGCTTTCGTGACGTTTGCCGAGTCCGTGCGCGTGGGGTTGTTCAGTGCCACGCTCGCCACACAGCTGAATCTCGCCGTCGTGTTGACGATGGCGATTACGCCGTATCTTGCGGAGTTTGGCAACAAGCTCAAGGATATTATCCCGCAAAAAACCGTGCAGAGCATGCAACCGAAGGAGGATGAAGTCGATGACCTGAAGGGCCACGTCATCATCGCGGGATTCGGACGCACCGGGAAAACCATCGGCGATATTCTCAGCGCCAACATGATTCCGTTCGTCGCTCTCGATGTCAACCCTGAAGTTGTTCGTGATGGCCGCGCTGCCGATAAGTCCGTCTTCTTCGGAGACGCAGGATCACCGGAACTACTTAAGAAGGTTGGCGCCGACCGCGCGTCGTGTGCTATCGTTGCTCTCAGTTCGCCCGCAGCTAACTACCGCGCGGTTTGGACGCTGAGTAAAAACTTTAGCAATGTGCAAACGTACGTGAAGGCTGACGGTGTCGAGGGAGGATTGATTCTCGAGAAGGCTGGCGCGAAGGCTGTTGTGCCGGAATCTTTAGAACCTTCTCTTCAGCTCGCTGCGGCGTGTCTGCGCGAATCAAAGATGTCTCCAAACGACATCACTGTCGCAATCGACACGTACAGACGCAATCAGCTGAAGATGTTGAAGAAGTCTCGTTCGAGAGGTTTTGCTGATTATAGCTCCGTCAATTACGGCGGGGTCTCCGCGGATCAAGTAAGTGTTGATGAGGACGTGAGCGCGTGATCAGGAAGCGCTCCATTCTAGTAGCGATTTTTTAAACTACGGTACTTTCTATCCTAACCTATCCTAAACAAGACTTGCTTCCCTTTACCCTTCTTCTTACTTCCCTGCGGATTGTCGTCCACGGAAGTCGCCGGAGACGCGCCGCGTGCGCCCCAAATCGGAGCCGTGGTGACTGGCGGTGAAGATCCTAGTGCCGGACCGAACTCGTCGCCGGTGTTAAAATTTAAGTTCGGTCCCCCTGAGGCGAACCCCAACCCCACGATGCTCGAAAACGATCGCTGACCGTCGGGACCGCGGGCATTCTGCACTTCTTCGTACATCGCCATACGTTCGCGCTCCTCCTCTGCCTGCTCTGCCATCGCTCGAGCGATGGCCGCGTCGAGTGACGTGTCCGGCGTCGGCGGCGGTGCATCGCTCGTATTCGAACCGAGCGCCGGCATCGAATCTCTCACAGACTTACTGAAAGGCTGAGATTTCACTTTCGCGATCGCCTCAGCGCGCTTCTCTTTCGCCTTGGCGCGAGCCTCCGCCGCATTTTTCTGTGAACGTCTTTTCGCTCTTTGGCGCAACTCGTTTCCAGCCGCTCCGTCGAGGATTTTCTTATGCACGAGCGGTTTCATGTCTAGCTCAATCATGACGAATTCCGTCGTCAACGGTAAGTGACGGATGTGCGCCGCTCGTTTGCGTACCTCCTCGTCCTGTGTTTTGTTTTCAATCTCAACGACGTCACCTTCGAGCTCGAGGGGAAGCGCCTCGTACGAGCCGTGGTGCTCGAGCAACACGCGCATGCACGCGCTGTGAAGCATCACTGGCTGTCCATCGGGCGCCTGGTAAAAGTAATACACGTTCGGCGCTGTCTCGTTCGATTTCGTCACCTTCGCTCGTTCTTCCGTTGCCGTTGTTTCCTCTCTCCGAGACTCTTCGATTGTCGTCTTGGCGATCGAGGCGGTCAACGCGTTGACGTCACCCGTCGTGCCCTTCTCCGTGTCCGAATCGTCGGACGCGTCGTCCTCGTCCGCCTCTTCCTCTTCATCATCTGTGAACGCGGACTCGACGACGACCTCGGATCCCTTGAGAAACGCCGTCGTGCTTCGCGTCCGCGCTGGCAGCGCCGGGAATGCCTCTGGTTCCGCCCGTCGCGTGGGCTCCTTTGGCGTCACGGCAACCCCCGGTGGGGGCGCTCTCGATCTCGGCGCGTCCACGCCCTCGTACGCACATCTGCGTTCGACCCACCGATCGAGCCTGCGCGTGAGGCAATCGATCGCCGCCAGGGCGAAAGGCAACTCGGCGACATCCGACTCCTCCGCGAGCGCGGCCACCCTCGCCTCGAGCGATTCCAACTCCGCCGTCGCGATCGCCACCTCCTCACTCGTCAGCGTGTACTTTGCGAATGAATCGCATCCGCAGTGCGGCAACGCTCGCGGCCACTGTCCCGGCGCCGGCGCCGGCGTCGCCTTCGCGTCCCTCTTACTCGGAACGGTTGAGTCCCTTCGGCGCTGCATCAGCGTAAACTTTTGTCGTTTCCCAACCCTCGGTGGCTCGATCGGCGTCGACCGCACGCTCCGCAAGTCCCCCAATCTATATTCAACCGCGCACACCGGACATTTACTCGGCTTCCCGCTCTCCCTCGTCGTCAACGCGTGCCTCGCGATGCACCCGAAACAAAACGCGTGTCCGCACGTCGTCGTCTGCGGCGCCGTCGGCGCCTCGTCCAAGCATATCGGACACGTCACCCCACCCACGCTCCCGTGTTCCACCGCCACGACGTCCTCCCAGGACACCATCCGGTCCGCGTCCCTCGACGCGCGATCGAGATCGGCGTACTCCACGAGCATGAATCGAAAATTGCTCTGCAAAAACAGCTCTCTCGATTTATCCCTCGCGCGCGTCGTCGTCCCTCGCCCCCGTCCGCGCCCTCTCCCCCCCGACGCGCGCGCGGACGACGCCGACCGATCACCACCGCTCGTCCGCGCGCGCGTGAACCGCAGGAGATGATCGGCGCGCGCGCCGCGCGGTTTTTGCCCCCGCCCGCCCGCGCGCGTGGAATCCGCGCCCGTCGACGGATTCGTCGCGCGCGTCGTCGTCGACGCCCGTTCGAACGGGCGCGCGCGCGCGTCGAGCGGCACGATTTTATCGCCATCGCGCGCCATCGCCCGCGCGCCCGCGCGTCGCGCGCGTCGGCCGCGCGATGGCGATTCTCGCCCACATCGCGATCGACGCGTGTCATCGCACCGGTCCATCGACCGTTAGATTTCACCTCGCGGCGCCGGTGCGCGACGTCGACGCCGCCGACGCGATGACGCCGACGCCGACGTGTAAACGATGCTCGACGCCGGCGTACGCGGCGGAGTCCATCGACGCCGACGGGCGGTATCACGCGCGATGTTTCACGTGCGCGACGTGCGGGAGCAAGCTGCGCCTCGGGACCTTTCGCGCCGTGGACGGTGACGTGTACTGCGTCGCGCACGCCACGGCGCGCGCGCGGGCGGTGAAACCCAACCTCGGCGCGGACGCGTTGGAGATCGCGACGTACGCGGGACGGGGGCGGACGACGACGACGATGGGACGGGCGGGCGACGGGGCGGGCGACGGGACGACGGCGACGGGACGCGCGTCGGGGAGCACGGACGCGGCGCGCGCGGTGGAGGGCCTTCGGCCGGCGCGGGAGAGGGTGGTGCCGGCGCGGCCGGCGTGCGCGCGGTGCGCGAAGACGGCGTATCCGATGGAGCGCGTGGACGTGAACGGGAAGACGTGGCACACGATGTGTTTCAAGTGTAAGACGTGCGGGATCGCGCTGAGTCTGTCGACGTTCGTGTTCGCGCGGGATGCGGTGTATTGTCGACGAGACGCACCGAAAGCGGGGGTGGGGGTGACGGGCGTCGAGCGATTCGCGGCGTCGCCCGGAGCCGAGATTGAGTCTTCGCGCTCCGTTCGCGACGAACGAAGCGACGGGATGCGGGCGGAAGAGTTGTTGGAGACGGGGGGAGAACGAGCGGTCAAAGGCGTCGAAGAGAAGGCGGAGTCGCCGACGGACGTCGTCGAGAGCGAACCAATCGTCGAGAGCGAACCAATCGTCGAGAGCGAACCAATCGTCGAGAGCGAACCAATCGTCGAGAGCGAACCAATCGTCGAGAGCGAACCAATCGTCGAGAGCGAACCAATCGTCGAGAGCGAACCAATCGTCGAAAACGACGAGAAATCGACGGTTGATGTGCGGGTTGTGAACGACGAGGCGACTACGGCGGTGACGCAACCGAATGAAGAGACGCCAACGGTTGATGACATCGTCGAAAACGTGGCTGCCATCACCGTAGAAGACATCGTGGAACCGATAAAGGTCGACCCGACTCAGAACCAAGACGTTTCGAGTGTTAGCGAATCGGTCGTTCTCAAGCCGCAGCTAGGGAGCGAAGGCGGACGCGGCGGCGGTGGAAAGAAAAAGAAGCGAGGAGGGAAGGGCGGGCGGAGGTAGGCGGATGTGCTGTGTTGCGGATTCGACAGACTACTCATATGGTGCTCTACTACTGTTTGTGTGCTCGCGCTCCTGCAGATGAAATGCCGATCATCAAACCCGGTTTATTCTCGTTGGCCACGATCAAGCTCCGCTCGCTCGTTACTTCTTCTTGAGAACGTCAAAGTACGGGTGGCTCTGCGCTTCCTTCGCCGTGATGCGTTCTTGATGATCGTAACGCAATAGCTTATCGAGGAAATCAATCGCCTCGTTGCTCACCAAGTGCTGATTTTCCTGCGTGATGTACTTGTTCCACGGCTTGCGCGAGTGTCTCCCGATCAGAGCCTCGAAGTTGGGATCGAGCTCGATCCTGTATTTGTTGAGGTACGCGTACAGCTCATCCGTGCCGAGCACCTTCGCGATTCGCACGAGCTGGTCGTAGTTGTCGTGACCGGCGAAGAATGGCTCCTTTCTGAATATCATTCCCGCAAACATGCATCCCAGCGACCACATGTCGAGCGAGTAATCATAATCCTGGAGGTCCACCAACAACTCGGGGCCCTTGAAATATCGCGACGCCACGCGCACGTTGTACTCCTTTCCCGGGTGATAAAACTCCGCCAAACCCCAATCGATCAATCGCAACTCGCGTTTAGAGTGATCGATCATTACGTTGTGCGGTTTTACGTCCCGATGCATGATCCCTTGCGAATGGCAAAAGTCCAACGCCTTCAGCAGCTCAAAGATGTAATACCGAATGTCGTAATCCGTCAGTGTCGGATACAAAACCTTGAAATCGTTCGCGTTCACGTACTCGAACACCAAGCTCGGCGTCTTCGTCGTCGGTTCTCGCACGACATCCAGGAGTTTGATCACGTTTATCCCTCCCGCCAGGTTTTGCAAAATCTTAATCTCGCGTTTGATCTTCTTCTTCTTTACCGGCTTCAAAATCTTTATCACGCACTTCTCCCCGCTCGCGTTCCGGCCCTCAAAAACCTCGCTGTACTTCCCTCTCCCAACCTTCTTCACCACCTCGTAGTCATCCTGCTCCCCCCACTGCACGCTCAGCGCCTCGTAGTCCCAGTACTCGCGCGGCTTTTCGTCGTTCGCGTTCGCGTACACCCGCGCCTTGCTCGCCGCCGCGTCTCTCCGGATCGCCTTACCGATGCGCGTGGACATCGCGGAGACGTCCCGCGCGCGCTCTCTCGCGCGCGCGTCCCCGAGGCGACTCGACGCGTCGACGAAAAGAAATCTGCTCCGCGCGGTAGGGTTCGCGCGATCTCCTTGAAATCACGTCTCGCCCTCGCGTCGCCTTCGCCCCGACGACGCCGTGCGATCGGAGCGACGCGTGCGCGCGGTCGAGTGCGCTCGTGCGCGCGCTCGTGCGCTCGCGAGCGACGGGCGCGGAGTGCGGCGCGTGGACGCGCGCGAATCGCTCGTGCACGAATCTCCCACATACTGTAAATATATCTATACTATGTATACCATGGGTACCATATAACAGATGATCAGCCGTCGGTCTATTCGATGTGAACCGACACAGCGCCCCTCACGCGCGCGCGACGTCGGAGAGCTCGATCTCGGGGTCGAGGAGCTCGGCGTCGTCGAGGACGCGCCATGTAAATTCTTTCCCGGCTCGACGTTTGTGGTGCCACGCGACGAGGACCGCGGTGCCGACGACGGAGGTGGAGAAGAGGAGGATGAAGACGACGGCGACGAAGCGCCACGGGTCGCGCGTCGGCCCGTCCGGGGCGTGCTTCTCGCGAAGGTTCTCGCAGTGCGTCACGGCGAGACCGATTCGTTCGTTCTCGAGATCGTACTCCACGAACGTGTTTCGCAGCGTCTGCTGGCCGAGTATGATTTGGCCTTCGGCGCCTTTCATGATGCCGATACAGTGCTCGCGGGGGACTATCCAACTGGAGAAGAGGTAGTTCTCTGGCGGTAATACCAGCGCGATGTCTGGATCATACGTGATCGTGAGCTTTGGAAGGGCGTCGCGAATGATGTCGTTCGTCAGCGCGCCTGATTTCGAGTAGAAGCAAAATGTGCTGAAAGAGTAATCCTCGAACACGTGTACATCGGAATATGTCGCGTTCAAGTCAACGATTCGGTCGAGTAACTCCTTCATGAAGTCGCCGTACATGACGGGTGGGAGCACGACCAACGTCGTTCCACTATCGAGAACGGTATACACGTTGGTTGACCCGGCGATGATCTTCGCGCCGAGCTTCCACGACATGGTGCGAACGGCTAAATCGTCGTCGCCCAACATGCGCGTCCACGATAGCGGTGATAAATCGCGCCCGAAATCGTAGCGACCCAAAGATAACATCGCCGTATTCGTCCCGGCGCCTTCGGAGCAGAATCCAAAGACGTCTGCGTCGATGACCCCTGTTCTCGCGAGTTGTGTGTGGAATGTCGTCTCGCCGCGGCCGAAACCAGCCATGCCATCGTACCTGTCAGCCTCGCCGTTCGCCTCGACGAGGCAGCCGCACCCAAAGATCATCTTCGCGCCCGCGAGTTCGTCTCCAACCGTCATGACGTCCTCGACCATGACACCGATCGCGGTCGAGTTGTCCATGTATGGTATTCCGAACTCGCACGCGCCGGACTCGTCATCAAGGATGAACAAACTCGATGCTCTTCGGCAGAACGCGTCGTCCTCCGCGTTCGTCGTCGCGTTAAGGAATCGAAAATCATCGGACACGCGTGCGTCGTAGTACGGATGCTCGTGAACTCCGCAATAGTCGACGAATTCACGGCTCGCCGGCCAGCACGCGAGGTAGGTCAACGGAGATCCCGTGTCCACGAACAAATCAAAACCTGCCCTCCCGCCATCGTCGTCGACAGGTAAAACCCGTGCCCCTCTCCGCGCGCGTTCACCAACCCCGCGCCGTAGGCGCGTATCGGCGTCGCGTCCGACGTCGACGCCAATCGTCGCCCGCGATCGTCGCGGTGCCCACTTTTTCGTCCCATCGTCGTCACCATCGCCCGCCCGCGCGCACCGTCGCTCGTTCGCCCGCGCGCGAGCGCGCACGCGACGACGACGACGACGACGCGCCGCGCCGCGCCGCGCGCCCGTCCGCGCATCGCGCGCCGTCGTTCGCGCGGCGCGATCTTTCGATCGTGCGATCGTGCGATCGCGCCGACGCCGGCGTCTCCGGCATCGTCGGCGACGGTGCCTCGATGTGCGCGCGCGAACGGTGACAACACCGTCGATGGGTCGTGCTCGTGATTCACATCACCAAGTTTCGAGTGGTGATTCAGAAGGTGATGCAGATTTTACCCAACCTATAGCCTTGTTTCGAGTGGTGATTTAAATCGTGATGCAGATTGTCCCCAACCGAGCGTGCGAATTGTCCCACACGGGCGTCGACGACGCGATGTATGGACACCCCACACCGATGTACGCACATAGGACGAATACATCCAGAGTACGACCGCGAGCCATCCCGCCGTGCGCCGCGCGCGATCGCCACCCGCGCGCGCGCACGAGCGCCCGCGCGCGCGCACGAGCGCGCGACCGCGCTCGGGATGCCCGCGTCGACGCCCGCGACGTCGTCGTCGATCGACGCCGGCGCCCGAACGACGGGCGCACCGCTCGAATGCGCGTTTCGCGTCATGCGCCTGCGCGCGCCCGCGTACGCGCACGGCGACGGGCGATGCGCGCTCGCGCAGGGATTGACGCGCGCGGATCTCGACCGTGCGTCGACCTCGGCCGCGGACGCGGGAGACGATGAGGGCGGGGGGTGGGGCGGGGGGGGGGCGACGGGCGCGCTCGCGCTGCCGCGGTCGTTCGGGACGGTTTCGTTGGGCGAGACGTTCGCGTGCGTGGTGTCGTTCGGGAACTTTTCGAGGATGGATGGTGATGGGAAGGGGGTGGATGGAGTCGGGAGAGGACGCACGGCGCGGGAGGTTGGGATTAAGATTGAGTTGCAGACGGAGACGCGGAGGACGACGCTGCACGACGCGACGCGCGAGCCGATCGCGGTGCTTCGACCGGGGGAGAAGCGGGACGTGGTGGTGTCGAAAGATGTGAAAGAGCTCGGTGCGCACACGTTGGTGTGCTCGGCGGCGTACTGCGATGAAAATGGCGAGCGTAGGTATTCGCCGCAGTATTTCAAGTTCAAGGTGTCGAATCCGCTGAGCGTTCGGACGAAGACGCGCGCGGCGCCGCGCGGGCGGATTTTTCTCGAGGTGTGCGTGGAAAACGCGACGAGAAACGCGCTTTTACTCGAGGGCGCGAGATTCGACGCCGTGGACGGAATTATGTCGCGGGACATGACGCCCGAGAACGCGGGACAGGCGACTCGAGTCGATGTGGGTGAAAACGACCGAGGGCCGGGTCTTCCCTCAATTGGCAAACGCGCGGTGTATCGACTCGATCCAACAGGGGGATCGGCGCATTTCCTGTACGAGATCACGAGCGCGAACGCGTCGACGACGTTCGCGCCGACGACGCCGCTCGGGAAGCTCGAGTTGCGCTGGCGCGGCGCCATGGGCGATTTGGGTCGGTTACAGACGCAAGTCATCAACGCTGGATCCGCGGGGTCGTCCGACCCCGTGCCCGAGATAGCGAAGATTCACCAAACGATCATCGTCGACCCTAAACCCGCCAACGCCGAGGAGGAGAGCACGGTGTACGTCGAGAGACCATTCACGCTTCGCGCCCGAATCGAGGCGCTCGCGCCCATTGAAGCCGGCGCGTTCGCCCTTCGCGTCCGAGACGTCGTCACAGGCGTCTACGTCGACGGTCCGCGCGCGTTCCGCATCGACTCTTTAGACCGAGGTCAAACCGTCGACGTGGACGTCTCTTGCGTCGCCCTCGGTCTCGGCGTGCAGACGTGCCCGACGCTCGCGCTCTGCGGCGCCGTAGACGACGCGTTACTCCACGCCCCGACCCCGCTTGAGGTATTCGTCGTCCGAGACGTCCCGGAAGCGACATTTCCGATCGAGCCACGGCCCGTGGACGTCGAATTCGCGTCGCTCGCGCTGGATTCATCGTCTTCAAATCCGCCGACGACGCCGCCGACGACCTTGTAAACGCGAACGCCTAGCCTCCACGAACCTCAGATCCCACCGCACGCGCATGCGCGGGACGGTCGATACCCGCGCGCTCGCACGACCGCATCTCACCCAACCCGCCGCTCGCGCGTCCAAGCGCGCGCTCCATCGCGTCATCGTCGCGCGCGAAGCGTTCGAACGAACGAATTTCAACGAGGTCACATTTCCGATGGATTCTGGTCGCGCGCGCTCGCGCTCCGCGTCCAGAGGCGCGGTGAAAGCGCCCGCGCGAACTCGATCGTCCTCTCGGAGCACCGGACGCGCGCGGACGGTGGCGAGGGCGAGCGACGAAAAGGACGCGCGGTACGGGTTGGCGAACGCCGAACGCGGGACGCGTTTGCGATGGTTACCGACGGCGCTGACGCTCGTGCGAGTCGCCGCGGTCCCGGCGCTCGCCGTGGTGTATCACAGTGCGATGAAAAACGCGGCGGTGATCTGCGGGGTGATGTTCATCGCGGCGGCGATCACGGATTGGTTGGACGGGTTTCTCGCTCGAAAGTTGAAGGCGAGCAGCGCGTTCGGGGCGTTTTTGGATCCAGTGGCGGATAAGCTGATGGTCGCCGCGTCGTTGTGCTTGCTGTGCACGCGAGCGCCGACGGGGGTGTCGTCTTTAGCGGTGTCGCTGCCGGCGATCGTGATAATCGGTCGGGAGATCACGATGAGCGCGCTGCGAGAGTGGTGCGCGGCGACGGGCGGCGAGGCGCACGCTGCGGTCAAGGTGAATAATCTCGGCAAGTATAAGACGGCGACGCAGATGATCGCTCTGAGTGTGCTCTTGCTCGTTCGCGACGGCAGTGCGTTTTTCATGAACGGCGCATACGACGCGGCGATCGTCAAGGGAGGCGTCTGGTGCCTCTGGGCAAGCGCCGTGCTCGCGTTGGCCAGTCTCTACGTCTACATGAAGCCGGTGATCGGGATCATGACGACGTCGGATTGAGAGGTAACACGTAAGATGAAATGAAATGAATTCTACGCATTTGAACTACAACGACGACTAAATCAGTGTCTCGCTATTGACTTTCCATTTTGTCGGAGAGAATCTTAAACCGCTCCTCGGCTTCGACGCGAGCGACTAAATCTTTTGAGCGCTGTCGATCGGGGTGAAACTGCAGTAGCGCCCTCCTGTAAGCAGTGCGCAGCTGTTTGGCGTTCGCATGTGAACCTCCCTCAACGACGACGCCGAAGCATTCTAACGTTTCAGCGAGATTCATACTCGCAACCTTCGCGGTCCACTCTGCACGAAAGTCGTGCCTGAGTTGCGCCGCCCTCTCGCTATCCTCGCACAACTTTACGCGTTCTTCGCGGAACTGCTCGACGCGCTCCTCCGCGGCTCGAATCAAGTCATCGGCAGCTCTCTCTTTTTCCTCACGTCGACGCCTCGAGCGCTCCTCCGCCTCGATGCGTTCGGTCTCGATACGTTTGGCCTCTTTCAGCTCGGCGATTTCCGCGAGTTTGGCGGCGGCATCAGCGAGCTGCGCACGGCGTCGCGTGTTGAACGCCCTGACGGCATCAGCGACGATCCACTTCGAAGTGACTAGCAAGTTAAACATCTCCTGGAGAAGCACCGGTTCAGTGTACTCCACTCCTCGTTGTTCCTCGCTCAAACACGCCTCTTCCTCCAACACAGCGCCCAACGAATTGCACAACAAATTTGCACGCTCCATGTCGTCCTCTGTCAGTTTGAACGCGCTTGCGACGGATTTCAAACTAACGCCGTGTGCAACGGCTATCGCATCATACAAATCGGTCAAATCATCCACATCCGCCTCCTTAGGCGACGTCGACGTCGTGGAATTTTGCGTGCGAGAACCGTTGGCGAACGCAACCAAATCGTCGATTGACGATTCGGAGTGGTCGTTTGGAGGCTGTGAAGTAGACTTTCCCGAGATCAGCGGCGATTTCCCCTTATCCATACGATATGACGCGTGAGAATACTCCCAGTGCTTGTCGGTCTCCTCGATGTACCGCGGGGGCGTGGGTGGAATGTCTTCCACGCCCGCTGACTCGGAACAGCTCCTCAACGCTCCAGGGACGACGCACAAGTCGACCCACATCTCGCCCTCACCTTCCCCAGCCCATATCACCCGCGCTGTGTCTCGGCCGTCGCAGTAGTATTCTCCGCGCACAAGTCTACACGGAATGTCCACCACCGACGCGAGCGCTTTAAAGAGAATCGCACGATGGCGCTCATTTCCCTTGGTCAAGTGCCCGATGTGAAAGACGCATCCTCTGCCGTTGGCGAGCAAATCCTCTCGATCCATCGCCACCGATCGCGCGAGCTCGGCATCGTCCACCGTCTTAACCGACCCGCCTAAGCGATCACTTACAAGTCGCGCGAGCAAGGCGCACTTTGCGCGCGTATTCGGCGCCGCTTCGCACGTCTCTCTCGCCAAGTCGTCAAGCGCGGCGAGAAATACATCCGTTCGCCTGTCCACCACCAACGCCTCCTCGTCCGCGATGACGGGATCGTTAAGAAGTTGCGCGAGTTCAGGGAGTTTACCGTCTACCAAATCCTCGAAAGCTTCGCCGCGAACGTCGTAAAACCCATCCGCGCTCGCGTCCAAAGCGTCGTCGGCGTCCAAGGCTTGTTGAATCCAAAATTTGCTCGCCAGCGCCCTCCCGCGCGTCCGCGTCCCAGCCCCGTTCACGCTCCGACCCTCGTACTCCAACTCCACAGCCAGAAGATCTCCCGACGTCTCCTTCACGCTCGCCTCGAGCGCTAATCGTAGTTCTTCCTCGTCGAATCCGTGCGCGTCTCGCGTCGACGCCGGACGCTCGAGCCGCGTAACCGCCGGCGACGCCACCGCCGCGTCCATTGTCGTCGCATACATCGCGTCCACGACACTGTGCTCGTCCGTAACTTCCGCCGTTACGTCTGATCGTGATTTACGCCCTCTCAACCGCGCTGTGCGCGATAAACGTCGCCGCAATCGTCGTCAGTCTGAGTGCCCAGCGATTGATAAAGATGAAATCCAAATCCAGGACTCTCTCGCGTCGCGTCGATCGACGCGCTCGAGCGCTCGCACGGGTGCGATCTCGACGTACATCGTATGCTTTTGAACATGGCTTTTTCGAAGAGACGCCGGGGACGATGACGGCGAAGTGGCGCGCGCGACTGAGTATCACCCGGCGCGAAGCGCCCGGCTGAGTTTCAACTACGGTGGATTACGAAGACGATGTTCATCGCGACTAGGGAGGCGACGCGGGCGAGGACGCGGGCGGCGGCGGAAACCCCACGGGCGGCGGCGGAAACCCCACGGGCGGAGGCGGAAACCCCACGGGCGGAGGCGGAAACCCCACGGGCGGAGGCGCGGGCGTCGCGCCGCCGCCGTGTACGCCGCTTCGCGCCACCGCCAACCACCCCAAAAACAGATACATCAGCATCACCGGATACACCGCCAGCGCCTTGCGACTTCCCGGCACCGCCGCGCTCACGAACGGCACGCTCGCCCGACACGACCACGCGACGGCGAGACCGACGACGACGGTTCGAAAATATTTATTCTCGCTCGCCAAACACGCCGCCGCCGCCAACACCAACGGCACGACGCAGTACCCCAACAGCGCCACGCTCTGCAAAAATATAATCCTTCCACCGAGCAACAGCACGTTCGCCGTGAGCGCCACCGCGCCGATCCCCACGGTGGCGAAGACGACGCTAAACGTCTCGCTCGCGTTCTTCGTCCCCGCGCTCAGCAGCGCGCTCAGCGCCAAGACGAAGAACAGCGGTCCCCAGAGATCCCACTCGCGCAGCCTGCGCGCGCCGTCCGCGTGGAAATTCGTGGGCAACAGCACCGCCACGCAGTTCTTTCGCACGAGTTCGGCGTCTCGCGCGAGCGTTTCCCAGATGGATTCATCCAGCGTGCTCCACGACGACGCATCGACGTCGATGTTTCCCCTCCCGTCGTCTCCCGCGCTCGCCGCGGACGCCCGCATGGCGCTCGTGAAGAGCGGATCCACCGCGCCGTCGAACGCGCCGTTGGACATCCCGATCGACCCCTGGGCGCGGACGAATCCGTCGACGCGCGCGAGATGCGCACGTCTCGAGCGCGCGACGCGCGTGGACGATCGAAAGGCACACACGACCGGCGATGGGATCGATATCACCGGTCGACGCCTTTGGACGGTGTGCCTTTCGAG